TGTAGTCTCCTTACAGGTTTTCGTCCAGTCCTCTTTCCTGTAGCTTTGTTTATCTTTCGTTTTGTGGGGCTGCCTTGGCTTGTGTTTTGCGCTGCCTTTTCCTGTCTTGTTAATTTGATCGGTAGCCCAGTTCTAGTGTCCTCTTTGAACATTGGGTGTTGTGAAGCATTAGAATTTTCTATGTCGAAAAAACGTAGGCATGGTCCTGTTCTCCATGCGGGTTTATAAGCGACATCATCGCTTAGTAGAGAAGGTCTGCACGGTCCGTTTATTAAAGGGTTAGGGACAAATGCTGTTCCGCGATTTATTAAAAGCCTTGGTTGCTTTGCAAAAGTTTTTACCCAAGCATTGTTTGGTGTGTAGGTTAGGATTTTTCCATCTATGGTCTTATATTTTTGTTCAAAAGTTTTTGGGTTCTTGACTTTTGTTGCTAGTCGAAGAGTTTTTCGTGCCACCTGTTCTTTTTGTTTTTCTATAATTTTGTCTAGCGTTCTTTGTACTCCCTTGTATCTTACGTTACGTTTGTTCTTAGCTAGTTCTATAGATTTCGATTGTGCACCTGTTTCTGGCTGTGTCGGTGATTGCGTGTTAGTGAGCGTCCTTGGCAGTGATTTATGTGTGGCTTTAGGTGGTGATCCCTTCTTTTGTATTTGTATTTCGGCCTCCGGCCAGCGTTGAAGATCATGCATAATTTCCGTTGGTTTTGGTGGCGTCGTAAGGTTCTTTCGATCTAAACATGCTTGTTTTGCGCTCTCCCAGTTTAGATTTATTGGTGAGCTATTTGTGGCTATCTTCGAAAGTGGAGTTTTTGGTTTTCTGCCCATATGCGCCTTGAAAAGTGAAATTTTTGTGACACCATGTGGTGTGATTCTCGCTGTTTTTATTATTTCTGCGACATCTGAAGCTAATTTTTTGACTGGTCTATTTTCATTACTGCCAACCTACGTTTAATTGTCTCAATCGTTCTTTCAACCACTCCTATTGCTCTGTGATCATCTACTGGTGCGAATAAAAATTTTACATGTATAAGGTTATTAGGGATGTTATTAGTGTAATTAAACTTGAATGTATGCATCCCTATTTAATTCATCCGGGAGGGGCCCTGCGAAATCTAGTTGGACCTCCTCGTTGGGTTCTACTACCGGTTCCATCTGAAAAAATTGTTTGGTTTTCAATATTGGTTTTAAGTTTTTAGCGGGCTCGGTGCAGTGAAGACAATTCTGTGCCATTTGCACAATTGAGCGGTGAATGTAAGGAAACCAGACATCCAGACATGCTGACATAAGTCTAACAAGGCTGCGGATCCCGGATGTGTCAAATGGAGGCTGTCCAGTACCGTCTGTCTGAACTGAGTGAGTATTATTATTCTCTCGTCAATTAGCAGGCAGTCCTCTCTCACGTGCAATCTGTTTCTGATGTTGTGCCAGTATTGGCCGTATGAGGTTTCGATCGCCTCCCAGTCTCGTTTCTTGACGAAGTTCACAGGGGTCCACGCGGCTGACCCTTATTTCCTTTTCATGTAAATGTTTGTGTCGCTGTAGTCGACCTGGCTGCTTCGGTTTTTGGTGCATCTGTTCTCGGGCTTTTTCTTTCTGTTACTGTTGTTTTTGGTGATGAGCTGCCTCCAAAAATGATTTTTGGGAAATTTGACTGTTTTGTTTTTGGTATTAGCTCCCTTGCAATAATGTTGGTCGCTTCGGGCTTTTCATTTGTTCTCCTTTTTTTGGGGGTCGCTTGAGCCACATCGGGTCAGAGATACTTTCCTTCCGGTCGGATGAGCCTTGCCAGTCGAGCAACGTTTCTGTACGGCCGCGTGGTTTATTCGTTTTTAGTTCTGAGGGATTGGATCCGCCTGTGAAATCTTTTGCTTCTTTTCTGCTCATTTTGTTTTGTTTGAATTTGATCGCGTTGATCGAAGTTTTGCAGCGGTTGAAAGATTTTGAATGAGCGAGAGAGTTGACTGGTTGTGAGCAGAATTTAAGTTAGACTGAATTTTGTTTTTGGGTAGCGATTGACTGCTTTCGGAATGTTTGGAATGTTTAGTTGTTAGTTGAGCGTTTGAACTAGCATCTAATAACTCTGCGCGCTTTTTGATCAGATCAAATGGTGCTCTGTTTTGATTGGCCAGATTATTTAGAATGACGTTGTCAATCATTTCTAGGTTTTTTATAATGTAAAAATTGACGGTACTACAAATTCTTCATCTTACTCACTGGGGGTATTGATAATCCAACCGGATTTCGTGACATATAATTTATTAGTCGCATTTTATTCCCTGCGCTGTGCTTCATATCAAAATGAAATGGTATTAATCTATCGGTCCAGTGGGTTAGTCAACTTTCACTTGTTTTTGATCATTCGCTTGCGTTTAAAGCGCTGATTAAAGCATGATGGTCAGTGATGACGATAAAATGTTTGCCGTATAAATACTATTTGAAGTGTTCAATTGCCCATACGATAATGAATGGAGCTGTTTGTAATTTCCGTCCTCCCGACTCAATTGTGATTATCAGTCTTCCTTTCGGATGCATTGGTTCGCCGATATAGCATGCTAAATTCCTGGATGTGTCCTCCGGTAGGATATTTTTAAGAACTGCAATTTGATTGCTTTGTTGTCTTCGTTGTGCGGTTTTTTCGTTGAGAACAGACACTGTGCTGCCCGACTCAGCAATAGCGAATAGTCCCTTTGTGTTCGTCTTTAATTTAACAATATATTTAATTAGATTGTCTTCCGATAGTGTTTTTGTGTTTTTATTTCGAATGATTCTGCGATTGTCATTACGGAAATTTTGTCTATCTGATACTCTTCCCAACCATTCTTGTGGTGAAATCAGCATGTTTGTGATGAAATCATTGACGGGGTCATTGTCTGTTTCCGTGCTTTCTATTTCAGTTTCGTCTTGTTATTTTTCGTTTGTGTTTCCCAAGTATTTTACGTTTGTGGAGCGACAAACTTTTGCGAAGTGTCCGCGTTTTGCTCATTTTGAGCAGATTTTGTCCTTTGCTGGACATGGTTGTAGATGATTGGTACCGTATTGGTTCCCACACTTATAGCATTGTCTTGAACTTGTGTTTCGCTGTTGTTGTTGTTGTTGTTGTTGTTGGCCCCTTGTGATTTGTGTTCCACGTGCACACGGTCGGCCGCGCAAACCGCCCCGACCTCTCATTTTATTTGATTGTTTTGTTGGTTGTATCTGCCACGTGTATTTACTTAACGTACCGGCTCTTGTTTTGTGGTCGTTGCTTGTCCTCCTAACTGTTTGTTTTTATAGTACGACTGTGTTCTATTCCCTTTTCTCGTCGCTTCGCGTATTCATACGCATCTTGTGGGCTACGTGTTTGTGCCAGCAATTCTTCTGCAGTCTTTTCTTTGTTCATGTGGGCGGTAAACATTACTCTTACCCACTCAGCTTCTCGGTCGCCGCAGTCAGCCCGTGACCAGTTCCACTAGGTCTGCATGAAATTGTTCTTCGGCGCCGAGACACAGAAAAAGGTAGCTACGCACTTTTGTGCCCGCTTCGTCCCATCTGAATGAGTTACACAGGACTCCTTTTTCGCGCGCTTTAATCACGTGGTTTTCCCAGCACATTCGTTTTTCTTGGTTACGCACGTCCCGATTCATTTTCTGCGCTTCCGTTTTGCCTACTATCTCGACCTCGTATATGGTTCGTATATGGTTCGGATGGTTCTAATAGTGGTGGTTTTGCTCGTAGTAAGTTCCGGATTTCGATGCGGTCTTTCGCGAATATTGCCATCTCCAATTTTGCCACCCATTTGGTGCACTCCAATGGTGGTTCGGCTGATGCTCTTTCCCAAAATGGGTTTATGTTTAGCGGGTTCTTCGAAAATCCTGCTGGTTGCGCCATGTCATACCTCAATGCATGGTTAGCTAATTCCTGAATCCGTATGGATTGATGATGGTGATCTTGAGAGAGAGGAGTTAAAACAACTAATTAATGGTAACGTTTCTTCTCTTTCTGAACCGTAGTTCGATTTAGCCGCCGTCCTTGTCCTCACTGTCAAGATCAATCGATCAAATCATATTAACGTTACATAGTATCGAAACATAAATAATGTATAAATACATTATAAGTTTTGTGTGGGGTTTTATCAATCCATGCCGGATGACAATAATCATCAAATTTTCAAATATTGCACTTGTTTCCACCTGTGCAATATGCATAAATATGAGCGAAATCAGTTAGAGCGGCAGTTAGATGTCAAGCACTTCTCAGTTTTTAATCGGATTCCAAACGATTTCTATAAAAGCATTCTTTTAGTTACAATTTCAACAACATCTTTCAAAAAAATTTTATTTCTCGGATAATTTTAAGTTTTCATTTAGTTTATAATTCGATTTTTTTTCGACTGAGTCATCCAGAGATTTGAAAAATATCCTTTTACACAGCAAATCATCGGCTCTCAACGAGTACCGTTTTTTTTTTCAAAAGTCGGTAAATCAAGCGGAAAGTTTTTCATTTTTTGTACCTTTTATATTGCAAGCTCTTGGATTATATATGGCAACATACATTTGTATTACGATGATATGAATTCTAGCGATACAAATAGTGGTTCTAGATATATGGAAACACTTATTAGTCTTAAATCGATAAAAATCTTAGCAATACAACTAAGTTATGCAACTTCGTGCTCTAGATCTACTAAAGCGAACGTTTTTTTAAAAGCTCCCCAAGAATGAACTGAAGATAAGAATTGCAACATCCTTATCTAATGTTGCAACGTTTGTGCTCTTTGGAATATGTCATATTTAATCACCATATCTTCTCAAAACCTTATTTGGGGATTTGCAGTAACTGTGTGACGAAAAGTAACCTAAACTAAAGTGGGAGGGCAAAACTTGCGACATCACTAGAACAAAACCTTGAATTTCAGGAATATTCCGATCAATTTTACTGCATCAAAATACCCCGAATGAGAAAAGTTTCTGTTGGCTTAGTATCGATAAGACTTTTGCAATCTTTTTATCAACAAGAAACTCAAAGAAATTTCATTTTGGTTCTGTTTGACAGGCAATTTGAAGTCGAATTGTAGCAAGAAACGTTGCTGACAACAGTAAGTACAAAACAATTGTACTAAAAGTGTTTTTCTTTTTTAATTGTGATTTTTTAAAAATCATACATAATACAAATAAACACACACTTAAACCTACATATGAGGTCGATTACTTTGATTAATTTAGTGTGTGAGACGGCCAAAAAGTAAAACGTTGCCGCCAAAACTTACCACTAAATCAGTATTGTAAGACAGACGGTTAGTTTAAGGAAACATGCCATGCTTAAAAACAAAGTAGAGACCGAGAACATGTTTTTACTTTTTACGATTTTGAACGGATCGACTTTCAGTAATCTTAATCGTAACGATAATTGCGCCCGTCTACAAGGGAATCTTCAATTTAATATTTTTTAAATTTTTTTTTTGTTTCAACTTTTAGAATGAGTTGCTTCTCGACAAGTCTGCTTCATTCTTGGATTACTATCCGACAAAAAATCGTTCTAGTGACAACTTTTTTCGACTGTGGTTTTGATTCTACTGGTTTTAATTAAGTTTAGGCAAAAATTTCAAAAGAAACGATAAATAATTGGTTTTCTACTTCTAGCTATTGTGATTTGCAGTCAAAATTGTGTTTTTACCCAATTGACTATACTGCAATGGTTAGAATACTGGTACTTGGTTTATCTTCAAATCCTGAAAGTTTGAACATAAATCAAGAACAAGACTGCTCGTACCAGGGCGAAGCCCTGAATGTTCCGACTGCCTTTTAAGGTTTATGGAGCAGCAGTAATAACATTAAAAAATTAAATGAAAAAAAATAAAACGAAAATTTTTTTTTCTAAAATTTGAAATTTTTTATGAAAATCGTCCCCCCACACCTCATAAAAAGTATAAAAAGATAGTTTTCGTTCCTTGTAACACATCAATTATGGCAAATAAGCTTCGTTCATTCAATTTGGAACGATATATAAGACGAATTAAACCTCCGCTTACGCGTTAATAGCGCGAATTATATCGCGCGTTAATTGTCCCAAATTGGTCAAAATGGCCAAAATGGCAATCTTTAAACCCTCATAACTTTACGAAAAACGATCACAGGTGAATTATCTTTTCAAATTTAAGCTCAGGACAACAATACCTTCTGAATGATATAAAAAGTTCCGTCAAAAATGGCTAGTTAAAAAGTCGAAATTTGTCTGAAGAAAAAAAAAAACCCACCCCGAGCACAAATATTCCGTTACTTTCGTATCGAAAGTCGGAACAATAAAACGAATTTTTTTTTTCAAAAATTTGAAATTTTTTTATAAAAATCATCCCCCCCCCCCCACACGCCATATAAAGTACAAAAGAATAGATTTCGCTTCTAGTAACAAATCAATTATGGCAAATAAGCTTCGTTCAACCAATTTGGAACGATTTATAAGACGTATTAAATCCGCTTACGCGTTAATAGCGCGGATGATATCGCGCGTTAATTGTCCCAAATTGGTCAAAATGGCAATCTTTAAACCCTCATAACTTTACGAAAAATGATCACAGGTGAAATATTTTTTCAAATTTAAGCTCAGGACAACAATACCTTTTGAATGATATAAAAAATTTCCGTCAAAAATGGCTAGTTAAAAAGTCGAAATTTGTCTGAAGAAAAAAAAACCCACCCGAGCACAAATATATCGTATCGAAAGTCGGAACAATAAAACAAGCATAGTAGTCCTGGCATCGTATTTTCTAGTTATTTTCCGCCAAATGCATTTGAACACGCATTGTTTGCTCACATATACGAAGAAGATTCACAACTATAAGCGATTGTAATAAAAAAACTCGATGGCTTATTTGGAAAACTGTCAGCTGAGTTTTCAATGAAAGCATTTATTGTTTTAAAATCAAGAAAAAACGCAAACTGAAACTTGAGTGAAACTTTCAAAAAAGTACAAGAAAAAGCTTAACTTTAAAATTTACCTCGTTTGAGTGCTGGTTATTCCAACCAAATTATATATTTTAAGGAAAAAATTTTGTTGATAAAATTGTCTATAAAAAAAAGAAAAATTTGAAAAATTTTATTAAATTTTTTATTAGTTTTGAGCAAGAAATGCGACGAATAGAAAAAACAAAGAATAGACGGGAAAAAAACTAAAATTTCCATTACGAACAATTGGGAAAAAGGAGAAAGGCGCTAACCATATGTGAAAAATTACCTTATGTAATGTTGAAGTAGCATTAAAAACCGATAATTTATCTAGAACTTGTCAAAGATGTCAGATCTATACTGGATCACTAGCTAAACGCCTACTTTGTAGCTATGGTGTTAGCTACTTTTGAGTGATTCTCGTTTATCAAAAAGCAACGTCACAGTCAATGAACACTTCGTTCCTATTATATGCACACACTTTAACTGATCAGTAACGAGACAAAAAAATTAATGTAAGGAAAAAAAGTGTTTTTGAATGTGTTTTTATGAAGCTCCTTAATTGCCTTTTTTTTTAAACATATTTCGACTCGTTGTTTGAGACATCTTTCGACATACTTTTCGGTTATGTTTCGACTTCGAGTTCGACTTTGTGTTTCGGACTTGGGCTCTTCATGATTCGAAATTTGACTTTCTAATGGTTTTTTTTCACTTTGTGATTGTGTTCGTTTCGACTTAAAATATTAACCGAAGTGAGATTTTTTTTCGACTTCGAGTTCGACTATAATGTTTCTTGTTAGGGCATTCACACGATCTATGCATAAGTCGGAAATCTCGAACCTGTTACGCAGAAGTTTCTACTGAATTACGTGAACGTTTCTTACTGTTTTGATTAACTTGCATTTTCATTAGAATAACAGTATCAGAGCATTTTTATTAGAATAACAAAAACTCAAATGTCTTAACATCATTTTTAGCAAATTTATTAAATAATCGAGAAAACTGTGCTAACTAGGTTTGGAATGAAGTAGCACAACCCGGGTTAAAGTTGCTTTTCAATTCAGAAAAGTATCAAAGATCTTTCATTTTTTGCATCCATGTATCTTTCATGTTACAGTGCCATTTTAACGTTGTTCATCTATGATTCATCTATGAAAAATGGATGCAAATTACAATGATGTTTAATCGATGAATCATGACTGCAACATGGATATCAGTTCTATAATTGATCCATGAAACATAGATGAAAATTCAATTGATGTTTTATCCATGAATCTTGACTGAAACATGGATGTGAATTTTCTTATTCAGCCATGAAACGTGGATGCAAATCGCATTGACGTATCATCCCTGTTTTCCCGGGTTAACAAAAATGCTTATCATACAGTTTTCGTTTTCTCAAGTCCACCAATCTTCCATATCTTTGAGAAAAGCTTAAAAGATTTCGGTTAAATTTATATCGGCCTTCTTATTGAAGATAATTTTTGGCCTTCTTATTGAAGATTAAAATAATATTTTCTGAACAAAAAAATTAAAAAATTCTCCAGAACCCCTGGTTTTAAAACAAAGTTTTTCAAAAAAATAAAAAAATTAGGTTCATTATGATTGAAACAAAATCAAAAAAATTATAAAATGAAACTTATAGTGAAATTATAAACAATAAATGAAAATGTGCGCAAAACTATTAGTCATCAGAATAAAACCCAGAGTAGAAAACTTTAAAATTTTCGGATGAACATCAGTCTCAAAACAATTTTGGGCAACAGATGAAATATTTGTTTCCGGCAAATTAAGCGCCAATGAATATAAAAATGAGGTAGCAATCATCAGTTTTTTGTATAAAAAATTCAAAAAATTCTTAATTTCATGATTGAAGATTTCAAAAACTTTCTCAAAGGAAAATTTTTTAAAAGTATATCGATGATTGATAGTTCAATGGACATTAAGGACAGATAGAAAACATTATAAGACATTAGAAAACATCAAAAAAAAATTCGGATGAAAACGTAAGTATGAACATTCTCAAATGGAATTTTTGCGAAAAATGTTTTTTTTTGAAATTTTTTGATGATTCTCAGTTTCAAAGGAACTACAGCCAATCACTTCTTCCCTCGATAAATTCTTCGACCCGAACTCTCAAGAGCTTCAGGAGTCACACTTCGGGCGTCACCTACAGGTGTCAAACCACCCACTGGCCGACTGAAACTTTTCTACTTTTGCGAAAAAAATTGAGTTTTTAGGTTTTTTAGCTGATTTTTATTTGCGGAGTGATGCATAATTTTTTTCAATTTTCCCCTTTTCTACAATTTTTGACCCTCTCCAAGAACAAAAACAAAAACAAAATCAGTAACACAGCAAAAAAGTTCCAGAACGAAAAAACAACAATTGTTTCTTCAAAAATTATTCAAATTATTTTTTTATTTAACGATCACTTTCAATAACTAGCAAGAAAAGTGCCATTCACCTTCGAATAAGTTAAAATAAGATACAGTGAAATACCCAGGATCTGCTCTACTCACCGAGTGAACCGTCTTAGTTTCTTCACACCTTTAGGGGAGAGGGTCAAGGTTTTTTACTTTTTTTATACGAAAACAACTGGCTTTTTAGCGGACTAGTTTTGTTTTCAGCGGTGGGGGATGCAAATTTGGAAAAAAAAGTTTTGCAATTCAAAAAAAAACTAAAATTTTCCAGACAAACTCAATTGCTCATGCACTGCTACTTCCGCGACTATTTCTGTAAAAATGCTTATTCACTTTTTTGCAAAAAATTCGCTTGTTTATGTAGTTTCTAACAATTTTTATAGTGCAAAACTATTTCAATCGTTTGTAATGACACCCAACAAAATTTTGAAAAAACTTCGTAAAAACTGAAATTTAATTCAAACTTGGAAGTGACATAGATGTTTCGTCGATCTCACATCAATGTATCTAAACATTCGAAAAATAGATGTCACATCGATGAAAAATTGATGTCACATCAGGGTTTTTTATATTTAAGGTTAAGAGATTGAACTTAACTAAAACAGAGTAAATCTATGCATTTGTACTTGTAAATCACTGAAACATTTCAAAACAATGCAAAAACAATGATACATTTCTGAATTGCAATGCAACTTCAACCCAGGAAAACTTCATTTGGGTTCGTAGCGGAGGCA